GGTCCCTGTGCTTTGCTAAGCTTATTCTAAGTAGGTGCTCCAGACCACTGAGCCATCTCACCAGCCCGGCAATCATATTCTTGATGTAGACTGCTTACAGGTACATTCAAAAATTTTTCTACTCATGATTAAGTGCATACATATTTTAAAAATAACCCCAGATACATGATTTAAAAGAAAAACGTCAGTCTGGCACAGCTTTTTTTGTGTGCCAGAAGCAATGATCTTGAGAGTCCAAACTAAAAACTTTTATAAGGAAAAAACCCCATAAATCTACAAATGTCTCAGAAATTTGACTTTAAATGGGGGAAATTAAAATAACACAGAGCTTTCTAAAAAGTCTTTAACAAGATACCTTTGGAGCTCAATTAAAAAATAGTAAATATACTAATCAAGTTTCAGCACAGCTTCAAAAATCTTTATATGGCGATTTGGAAGGATGATCCTGGATGAGAAGTGTTATTCCTTGTGTATGTCATGTCTACAAGCCTCTCAGTTGTCATAATTTTCTCTGTAATTCCCTCCCGAGTATCGATCATAGCCTCCCTGGATTCTGCCACTATAGTCTCTGGATCGCCCATAACCATATCCATATCCTCCAGGTTGACTGTCATACCTGCCACTCCCATAGCCGTGGTCCCTACTACCTCGAGAGTAGCTGCAACCACGTCCATGGGCCCCAAAAGTACCTCCTCCTCTGGTGCCCCAGGCAGATTTGCCTGCATGGTCCACATGGATCTGGCGACCATCCCGGGACTCTCCATTCATGGCTCTCATGGCATCTGAGGCATGATCTGTGTTGGTAAAGGTGATGAAGCCAAAACCCCGGGATCGCTGAGTTTCCCGGTCCGTGACAACAACCACCTCAGAAATAGGGCCAAAGCTGCTGAAGTAGTCTTCTAGTGCCTGCTCGTCTGTGTTGAAATTGAGCCCACTGACGAAGAGCTTCCCTTCTTCAGAAGACATGGCAGCGAATTCAAATCCTGGAGATTAGAAAGTAATAAAGAACCATGGAGGGCAAGCGCTGAAGAACAAGGAGAACAGGGCTAAAACTTTATTCTTAATTGCTTTTTAAATTTCAATCATAAAATTACACACTCATTCCGCTTTTCCTGGACATTGGAGTTGTTTCCAGCCTGTGACTTTTATGAATGAACATAAATAGCATGCCATGAATTTACATGTATTTTATATAGGTAGGAGCCAAATTACTGGGTGACAGGATATACATGTGCCCAGATTTTGTAGATATTACTAAATAATTGTCTGAAGTGATTAATTCAGATTCCCAAGGCGAGTTGTTGCTGCTTCAAGTCCCAGAGGAGGAGAGGCAGAATATCTTGCCCCCAAAATGTAGCTGCTTAATGCTTTTAAGGTGCTCCATAAATCCCTCGCTCTGAGGTGTAGTGACTTGGACCGTGCAGATCACAGGGATTTCTTCTGGCATGGCCCAGGACTCCATCTCTAAAAGCTGGGTGTGAATACCAGACTGGTCCTTGCTTTACACTAGTCTTCCTTGCTAAGAAGGACGTAAGTGAAACACAGAAACCACTATCATTGTGTGGCAAGCTGGGGACAGACGTGTTGGTTCGAGGGGGAAAGAATATCATACCCATCTAGGTCTGTCATTTCTATACTTTGATTCTTGTACTAAACCATAATGTTTTTAAAAGTCCTGTCACGCTGGCCGTGGTGGTATACACCTGTAATCCCAGCACTCAGGAGGCTGAGGCAGTGGGTTTACTGAGTTCCAGGCCAGTTTGGGCTACAAAGTGAGGCCCTATCTTAAAAAAAAAAAAAAAAAAAAAGTAACACAGGGTAAGATAGAGAAGAAACTCAGCTGACTTCACTATGGTTTTAGATTTTGGCCTGGACCCTTCTGAAGATTGTGCGGCAGGGTGGAATCCGAAGGCTTAGCTTGTGAGTGGGAGAAGGAACGGACCCACTCACAAGGGACTGTGGGGAAGGAGCAGGGAGGCAGTGGGTGGAGCTTTGCAGGTGGGCGGAGCCTTTGTAGGAAGGGTGTTTCTCCTGCGCTGAAGGACTTCCTGCCTTTGTCTCTGTGGTCTTTTCCTGGATTGTCAGGGAAGTAAACGTTGCTGGGTCCTGAACTCTAGTGGGCCGGAAGGAGGGGTGTGGCCTGGGACTGGAACTCCGGGTTCTCTTGGAGGGGCCTCTTCCAAGGAGGAAGCAGCCATGACCCAGCTGTTGCCAGCTGCAGTGGAAATTGTGAGCTCAGTCTCAGGCTGCTAGACCACAGCAGGCTCCACCCTGGGGCCTTGATAGGGATAGCAGCATGTGTGTCTTCTGGCCTGTAGTCAGACTTCTCAGTCCCTCCTCTTGCCTAAATTTGGGAAAGAATCCAAGTATGTAGCCCTGAAGGCTAGGATCACCACAGCCATACCTACCTCCTCTAATGTGCTTTCCCCCAGCCTCCAGGGCATTGCTTGGTTTATTCTGTCTAATCCTTTGGGTCACAGAAGTTCCACTGAAAAAGTCAGTGAGAGGCTACCAAGGAGTGAAAACAAATAAATCAATCATCGTGTGCTCTTTAGGGATAAGAGGATAGATGGGGAAGAATACTTGTTCGGGTATTGGTCTCAAAGTCAGCCCCTGCCCACAGTTTCCAGCTAGCCTTCATACTTTAGACTTTGTTAGTGGTTTCTCTTTTGCTCATTCACATTGCCAGCCTCCTGGAGTGAGGTGGGGAGGCTTTCTCTCCTGAGTGCCTCTCACACCACCCCTTACCCATGATGCTCCCCTACGAAACTTGGGGCTCTACAGGACTGCTGCCAAACCAGAATGTTCAGAAAGTTGAAAAACATTTCTCTCATGCAAATATAGAATGAATGAATATGTATTAAAGATGTATTTAACTTACTAATGGAAGCAAGATGGAAGGTGGAAGAAGGGGTTCAAAAAATTTAGGAACTGAGTGTTCGTTGGCACTGAAGAAAGAATGTTGGAATAATATTGCTAGGTGAGACACAAAATCTGGTTCTTTATCCTGTCGTGCAGGATAAAGACAACAGTAACCCAACTGGATGCGGTAGTGCACCCCCATACCCGGCACTTGGGAGGCTGAGGCAGGAGGATCACTGTGAGTTCAAAGCCAACCTGAAGGGCCAGGGAGATGGCTCAATAGAATAAGCGCTTCCCTGGCAAGCGCAAGGGCCTGAGTTCAATCCCCAGTTCCGCAAAAAAAAAAAAGTGAACCTGAACTGCATAGTGAGATCCTGTCTCTAAAAGACAAAACAAACCAGTAGCCTTTGGGATTTTCTTTCTTTGTTTTTTCTTTTTCTTTCTTTCTTTCTTTTTTTTTTTTTTTTTGGTGGTGTTGGGAATCGAACCCAAGGCCTTCACGTTAAACTGCATCCCCAGCATTTTTTGTGTTGTGATAAGGTCTTACTAAGTCACTAAGTTGCCTAGACTGGGCTGGAACTTGTGATCCTCCCACCTCAGCCATCCAGAGTGCAGGGAGTATAGGCTTGGATCACATAGCAGGACACTTTTTTTTTTTTTTTTTTTAACCATGGCCTTTTAAAAACTGCTGTTTTACCTAGTGGTGTTTCCATAACACCTGAAAGACATAATCATATTTTGACAATGAAAAGTTGAAGTCTTAGAATATGATTAGGCAAACTGGGCAAGGAGGTACAAACTTGTAACCCCAGCACTGGAGAAGCTAAGGCAGACCACAAAATTGAGGCCTTCCTAGGCTACATGGTGAGTTCAAGGCCAGCCAGAACTGCATAGTGAGACCTTGGTTCAGCCTTACTCCCCCAACAAAAGCAGGAGAGTGCCATTTGCAGGAAGTTAAGGTTGAGGATCCCATCAATATTATAACAGTAATAATAGTGGGATATTTCAGGAGGTTACCATTTGGTAAACGTTAGTAATTTTTTTTTGTGGAAATTGAACTCTGGCCCTTGCGCTTGCCAGGGAAGCACTTATTCTACTGATCCATATCTCTCTCTTTCTCTCTCTCTTTTTTTTTTTCGCCATGCCAGGGATTGAACTGAGGACCTTGCACTTGCCAGGCAAGTGCTTATTCTACTGAGCTAGCTCCCTGGCCCAGCTCCAACATTAGTACTTTGTAGTCATTAATTCATTTTATATTCCCAGTAACCCATTTATTTAGTTAGGCTTTTGAGAGGAACTTGCAGCGACCCTCTACCGTCAGCCTCCCATGTGCTGGGATTACAGGTGTGCACCACCATGCCCAGCCAGGAATAGTATTTGCACCCAACTAGAGTTTGACTGAGATTGACTTTCCAGTAGAAATAGAATGGGACTGGGGCAGTAGAAAGAGAAACGTCCATAGATTTTGAGGAGGAATGGTATTGTACAAAAGCAGATAAGTAATGTCAGGGGTTATTTTTAGCTTCAGAGAGTGCCATCCAGAGCGCTGCCCTTGCACTCTGCAGTGTGGCCAGCACCAAGCTCCTCTTCACAAAGCCAATCCTTACTCTCCAGTGGATGCCTGAGTCCTGGTGGAAGAGAGGGGTGCTCGGTGCTGCGTGCACTACTGTTCCTTCAACCCTTGCAACTTCCTCTGTGGGAACAGGTCTGTAACAGGTCTCTCCCGAGGGTGAGTTGTTTTGGACTGAGGGCTTACCTCAGGGTCTTGGCACTGAGCCACCTCTACTGCCTGCACCCTTCTGAAATGGGCTCTTGCTAAGTTCCCAGGCTGGGCTTGAACTTATATTCCTCTTGCCTCAGCCTGTGGGAGTCCTGTGATTATAGGTGTGTGTTACTATCCCTGGCTCAAGGTGACACTTTTAATTTTTGGGGTGTGTATGTTGAGATAGGAGTCTTTCTTTATATACTTCAGGTTGCTCCTGAACTAACGGGGTAATCCAGACTGGCCTCCAACTTGCAGTAATCCTCCTGCCTCAGCCTCCTGAGTGCTGGGGTTACACAGGTGTGTACTACCACGCCTGGCTTATCTCTTTTTCTTTCTATGAATCTGAGTAGGAAAAATGATTCCACTGGCACAGAGGGAAGCATGCTCCATCCAGATGTCTTTTCTTTTTTTTTTTTTTTTTTTTGTGGAACCGGGGATTGAACTCAGATCCTTGTGTTTGCCAAAGGAAGCACTTATTCCACTGAGCCATCTCCCCGGCCCAATCCAGATGTCTTTTCTTTGTCCCATGCTTGCTCCCTACACTGGCTCATTACTTTGCACTTTCCTTTCACTTAGATATGGCAAGATCGTCTCCACTAAGGCCATATTGGACAAGACCACAAACAAATGCAAAGGTGAGAGGAGAGCTGTCCCCAGTGGCTGAGAGAGGGTAAGAGAGGCTGCCTCACTGCCTCCCTTGAGTGCAGAGAGGCCCAAGTGCCCGGGCTGGGATGGGACTCTGAGGGTTTGGGAGTGGAAAACCTAGTGGGTACTGAGATTCCCTGGCAGACAGCTGGAGCCCAAAGTGCTGTTTGGGGTTTGAAGGCCACAAGGCTGCAGTTTCCTTGAGTCCTCTGGGCTCACTTTGGACTTTGTTTCCTTAGAGGGGTGATAGAGTTGGGGAGGTGAGGTTGTTTCTGTTTTGTAAAGCAAGATCATTGCTTTTTTTTTGTCTTTGGTTTTTGGGTTTTGTCTTTCTGGGACAGGGTCTCGCTCTACAGTTGAGCCTTGAGCTCACTTTGTAGCCCAGGCTGGCCTAGAACTCAGAAGGATCCTTTTGCCTCAGCCTCCTGAGTGCTGGGAGGTCATTGCCTTTTGGCAGAGGAGGCAGGGGCACTTGGTAGGTGTTATTTTCCAAGGATGAGCAGTTCAGTGTACAGCTGGAGGAATGGGAGGAGGAGAGAAGGCTGCACGTGGGGTGGGAAGGTCGTCAGCTCTGGAGAGGCACTGGGAGGTCTCTAGGCCACCTCTGGGGCTCCCTCAGAAGTGTGTGTGGTGGGGGCTGTGGATCCTGTGGAAAGACCACTTCCTGAAGCCTCAGGTTACAAGGGGGTGGGAGCCAGGTGGGCACACAAGGACCTCGTTGCGCTTGGCACTGTTGACCGCTAAGTGGCCCAGTGCCAGGTATGAGCAGTGGAGTGGAGGATAAAGACCTAAACTTACTTTCTTTTTCTCCCTGCCACTTCCCTCACATGGGTCTTAACTCTTCCTCTGTCTCCTGAAAAGCCTGAGCCTCCCAGTCTCTCACCCCCATCTCCCATGATGCTGTTTCCTGTTCCAGGCTATGGCTTTGTGGATTTTGACAGCCCCTCTGCGGCACAGAAGGCTGTGACAGCCCTGAAGGCCAGTGGTGTGCAGGCCCAGATGGCCAAGGTAAGGACACTGTTGCTGTCCTGGTCCTCTGGAGCCTGCGTTGAGCTGCAGGGTCCTAGTCCTTAGGCTCTGTTGCACTTCTGGAGGCAGGACGGCCCCGCAGGCCATCCCAGCGCTTCCTGACATCTGGCTGCTCAGGCTGGGCCCTGGTCTGATTGCAGGCTGCCAGAGGAAGGCTGTGAGCGGAGGCCAGAGGCTGGGCCCTGCTCCCTCCTCACCACAGCAGGCATAAGAGTGGGAAGGCCCCTCGCAGTGCTGCTGCCTCAAGGCTCCACCCTGGCCCCACTGCCCTACCCAAGAGGCTGAGGCTGCAATAGTTTTGCAACATTTTCTGAGAAGCCAGTTGTGCAACTCAGAACAATGCTCTCTGCTTCCCAGCCTGGTCCCTGTAGGGGCAGAGAGTGGGCTGCGGAGGGGAGGAAACCACAGCGAGGAAGGAAACTGGCCCTCCTTCTCAGAGCTGCTCCGGGCTGGTACTTATTTATGAACTTATTCTGTCTAGCTGGCTTGGAAGCTAGAAGCTTTTCTGCACTCTCCTAGGACTTGCCTTTTCCAAGCTGTCAGGAATACCATCTAGAGAGCTGATTAGCAGGCCCACCTGCTCCGCTTTTCTGTAAGGGTTTAAGGGAAGGGAAGTTCTAAAAGGGAAGGCAGAGAGGGCTACAGCTGCTGGTGATCACTGTCTAGGCCAGCGTGGCTGCTTACATTCTATGCAGGCAGCCCAGGATAAGAGCAGCGCCCCCTCCGGAGGGGCACCCCGCTGTCCTCTGCCTTCTGGAGGGAAGCCTCTCCTTGTAGCCCGAAGGCTCACAGCTAGGACACCAGCGCCTTCCAGGTTTGTGGGACCCAGTGAGCTACTGTTTTGGCCCTTCCCAGCCCCTTCCTTCTCACTTTCCTTAGGACAGCTTCTTACTCAGAAGATTATGCTGTAGCCAGACAGGGTGGGGAGTCTCCAGGTGGTCCCTGCCCCGCCTAGCTCTCAGCTGGACACCATGGTGACTTGGTGACTTGCATGCAGATGAGCAGCGCTGGGGACAGGAGATGCTCTGCTCTCCTCCTGGCTCAGTACACAGCCCTTGGTGGCCTAGGTGTTGCCTGGCTGTGAGGGACGTTAAGGTTCTCTGTGGGTGTGCATATGCGGGTGTGTGGGTGTGTGGGTGTGTGGGTGTGTGTGTGTGTGGGCTCCTTGTACTCTCTTCTGAAGTGTCATTGTATAGATAAGGAGCAGGAGTGGGGATGGGGCAAGAGGTGTGGGCCTCATTACTCATTTTTACTTTCACAGCAACAAGAACAGGACCCCACAAATCTATATATCTCAAACCTGCCTCTGTCCATGGATGAGCATGAGTTGGAGGGGATGCTGAAGCCCTTTGGCCAGGTTATCTCCACCCGGATCCTTCGGGACACCAATGGGACCAGCAGAGGAGTTGGCTTTGCAAGGTGAGGGATGGCAGGTGTGGGAAGGGCCGAGGTTAGTCAACAGGGCCACTGAGGAAGCCACCAAGAACACCTGTGTCCATATTTGTGTCCCTTGGGGCCGGGGAGATGGCTCAGTAGAATAAGTGCTTTCTAGGCAAGTGCAAGGGCCTGAGTTCAATCCCTGGTTCCACCAAAAAATAAAAATAAAAATACATATTTGTGTCCCCTGCTAGGGCAGCATATGTCTGTAATCCCCACGCTCTGGGAGGCAAAGGCAGGAGGACTACAAGTTTGAGCCCATCCTGGGCAACTTCTCAAGATCATCCCTCAAAATAGAAAGTAAAAGAAGGGTCTGGGAATATAGCTGAGTGCAAAAGCCCTGAGTTTAACACAAAAACAAAACCTGATAAAAAAAAAAAAAAACTTACTCTATTTTACATTTCATTGACAATCCCCCTGCCTCAGCCCCTCAAGTGCTAGGATTACAGGTATGAGCTGCCATGACCAGCTCAACATTACATTATTACTTTTGCAAGACTGAGGGTCAAACCAGGAGCCTCACACGTGGTGGGCAAACACTGTACCACTGATCTCCACATGCCCCAGCCTCAACCCCTGAATCTTTTCACCAGTACTTGCCTTTGTCCTTTGATCCAGACCCAACCACAACAAAATAACTATGTATTTTTATAGCTGAGAGTTTCTTACCCATGTATCTTATTTAATCTTCATAATATCCCTGTAAATATTCATTATTCACCAAATAAAATATTATTTTACAATTAAAAGAAATTTCAGTTTGTGGCACCTTAGTAATCCCAGCTACTAGTCAGGCTGAGCGAGGAGGATCATGAATTCAAGCCATGCCTAGGCGATTTAGTGAGACCCTGTCTCACATCAAAAGGGCTGGGAATGTAGCTCACAGATAGAGGACTTGTCCAGCATATAGGAGGCTGTGGGTACTAAAAAGAAAAAGAAAAAAAAGATTTTCTGTGACTGGAGAGGTTTTTTTTTTTTTTAACTTGAAGACTATTAGATTATAATCTGGAGCTTTTTGTTTTACAATATTTTATCTTGTCTATGATTGCTCCCTTATTCCAAGTTTTTGACCTTGGGAATAAAGATTAGGTCCTTTGCTCTAGTGAGCGCAGTCTGGGTAGCACCCCCTGCTGGCAATCTCAGTCATAACCAAGGGAAGCTCCTAGGTTTGTGGGCATCACTGTCTGTACTAGAGATTGAACCCAAACTCACATGCAAGGAGCTCCGCTCCTGACCCTTTAACTTTCATGTTGAGCCATGTGTGGTGAGGCATGCCTGTAATCCCAGCACTTGGTATGCTGAGGCAGGAAGATCACCATGAGTTTGAGGCCAGCCTGGGCTAAATAAGTGAGTTCAGTGCCAGTCTGAATTCCATAGTGAGACCCTGTTCTCTAAAAGAAAAAACAACAAAATGTTTTGGGGTGCCGGCAAGGTAGCTCAGTGTACTGAAGTGCCTGCGTAGGCAAGCTTAGGTAAAGCACAGGCACCTCAGTTTGATCCCCAGCTCTGCCCCAGGGTGGACTGAGCCGGCCTCAAAGTCTGGGTGTAGTGGATGGAGTGTGCCTATAATCCCAGTGCTGGGGAGGCTGAAGATAGGAGGATCGCTGTGAGTCTGAGCTGCATGATGAAACCCTGTAACAACTAAATACATTTAAAAACATGTTTTGGTATCAGGAATCAAACTTAGGACCTTGTGCGTGCTGAGCAGGCACCATGCCACTGAGCTATATCACCAGTCCCAAAACTTCATTTTGAGGCAGAGTGTTGTTGAGTTGCTAGGATGACCTCAAACTTGTGATCCTCCAGCTCAGCCTCCTGAGTAACTGGGATGACCCAGGTGTGTTGCCATCAGGTTTGGGGTTTGAACTCAGTGCCTTCACCCACCGCAGCCCTTTTATTCAATTTTTATTTGAGGCAGGGTCTCCCTAAATTACCCAGGCTAGGCTCAACCTTGCAATCCTGCCTCAGCTCCCACAGTGCTAGGATTGCAGGCTTGTGCCACCACACTCAGCTTCTAATATAATTTGATACACAAAAGTGTCCGCTTAAAATTGTCCGGATCACTTCTTTTTTAGTAGCCACATTTCTCATTGTTGTTCCAGCATTGCTGATCCTTTTGATCTGTGTTTGCGAGCCACTTCCCTACGGAATTCTATACTAGTGCAAAATATGTTTAGATCTGTAAATCATGAGTCATGTTCTTGTAGTTTTCTCCAACACAAATAAGTATATAAGTTAATTCCTCCCCCATGGCCGTTAGACTATGTCTCGTGGCTCAAAAGATAATCATCTTCATTAGTTTTCAGTTGCCCCAAACAACATAAATATATTATTCATATGAAATTACTTTATATAGAGTAAATTTTATTGGAAATGCGTAAGTTCTGTTTAGGTTTTTTATTTTATTGTTTAGATTTTTTTATATTAAGTGATGCAGCCATCATTAAATATCATTTAGGCCAGGTGTGGTGGCAAAGACTGTAAACCCAGCACTTGGGAGGTTGAGGCAGGAGGATTGCCATGAGGTAGTCCCAAAACTTCATTATGTTGTTTGAAGCCATCTTGGGCTAGTGAGTTCAAGGCTAGTCTGAATTACGTAGAAAGACCCTGTCTTAAAAGTAAAAAATAATGAATAAATATAATTTATTGTTAAGACAGGGTTTTTTCTTTTCTTTTGTCTTTTTTCTTCCTTTCTTTTATTTGGTACAGGTCTCACTACGCAGTTCAGACTCGTAGTGATCCTCCTTTTCAGCCTCCCCAGCACTGGGATTACAAGGTATGCACCACTATGCCTAGTCTTCTTTTATCTTTTTTTTTTTCTTTCAGAACTGGAGATTGAACTCAGGCCCTTGTACTTGCCAGGCAAGCGCTTATTCTACTGAGCTATCTCCCCGGCCCCTTCTTTTATCTTTTTGAGACAGGGTTTTACTATGCAGTTCAGGTTGGCCTTGAACTCACTATGTACCCCAGGTTGGCCTCAGACTTGTGATCCTTTTGCCTCAGCCTTCCAAATGCTGGGATTACAAGTGTGAGCCACCATGCCTAGCGGGACAGCGTTTAATACCAGTTTTGTTCCTGGTTTTGTTTTCATGCTGTTAGGAGTTTTGTTATATAACTCTGAATTCCTTCTGAGTTATATACTAAGTACCAAGATGATATATCATCAAAATTGTTCTTTTGTTTAAGACAGCGCCTCACTACGGAGTTCAGCTGGTCCTGAGCTCACAATGTAGCCCAAGCTGGCCTCAAACTCATGGCAATCCCCCTGCCTCAGGAATGCTGGGATTACAGGCATGTGCCTCAAAATTAATTTTTAAAAATTGTCATAATTTGTAGAAATCCACAAAAAAAGTCCTCAACTTTATTAGAAGTAAATAATTGCAGGGGGCCTGCCCGGTAGCTCAGTTCTTTAAGTGGCTGCTTCAACAAAGCAGTCAGGCTCAGGTTGCTTGGGTTCGATCCCCACAACACAATACAGCCAGTCATGCCTTGAAGGCATTCCGAGCAAAAAACAAAAAACAAAAAACAAACAAACAAAAAAAAGAAGTAAATAATTGCAAACCGTCTGACTTACAAAAGACATTTGTAGTTGTTTTCAATACCTATTGTGTAGTTTTAGAATGGTTAAGAAGTACACTGAGACAAGGCTGGGCATGGTGGTACATGCCTGTAATCCAGCCCTTAGGAAGCTGAGGCAGGAGGACCCTTGCGTTTGAGGCCAGCATGAACTACATAGACTGTCTCTGAATGAATGAATGAATGAATGAATGAATGTTCTATCTGAGGCTTTTTGAAAGTTGCCTCCTAGAGAGGAATAGTTCCTAGATTATTGATGTACAGTATATACCAGAGCTTTATTTAAATATGAAAGTAGAAGAAAAAGGATACTATACATTATACAATATATAAGGCCCTCATCATTGCTTTGTTTTTTCTTCTTCTGGTCCTGGGAGTTGAACTCACATGTTGGGTAAACCCTTCACCACTAAGCTGCTGAGACAGGGTCTCACTGTTCGGTTCAGGTTGGCCATGAGCTCACTTTGTAGTGCAGGCTGCCCTCTGGACTCCCAACACTCCTCCTGCCTTAGCCTCCCAAGTGCTGGTATTACATGTGTGTACTACCATGCCTGGCATTTTTTTTTCTTTTTTTTAATTTTTTTTTATTTATGTGTGTGTATGTGTATGTGTGTGGCCAGCTCAGCCCACCGGGGGGCGGGGCTGGCTGGCATGTGGTGCTGGGGAATTGAACCGCGGTCCCTGTGCTTTGCTAAGCTTGTTCTAAGTAGGTGCTTTAGACCACTGAGCCATCTCACCAGCCCCCTGTTTTCTTTTGAGACAGGGTCTCACCGTGCAGTTCAGGCTGGCCTCAAACTGGCCACAATCCTCCTACCTCAGACACTTGAATGCTAGGATTATAGGCTTGTACCACCGTGCTTGGTGTGTATTTTTCTTAAGAGTACAGGTGAGGACATAATGCATTGTGTATGTTTTGCCCTTAGAATTCTTTTTGAAGGAATTTTTTTTTTTAAGAATTTTTTGGGGGGCTGGTGAGATGGCTCAGTGGTCTAAAGCACCTACTTAGAACAAGCTCAGCAAAGCACAGTGACTGCGGTTCAATCCCCCAGCACCACATGCCAG